CAACCCCATGGACTGCAGCACACCAGGCTGCCCTGTCCATCACCAGCTCCCGGAGCTTGCTCAGACTCATGTCCATTGAGTCTATGACGCCATCTGACCATCTCATCCTCTGTCGTCCCCTTCTCCTGTTCTCAATCTTTCCCAGCATCAGGGTCTTTTCTAATGTGTCATCTCTTCGTGTCAGGTGGCCAAAGTATTGGGGCTTCAGCTTCAGCATTAATCCTTCTAATGAATATTCAGGATTGATTTCCTTTAGGATTGACTGATTGGATCTCCTTGCAGTCCAGGGGACACTCAAGAGTCTTCTCCAATATCACAGCTCAAAAGCATCAATTCTTCGGCATTCAGCCTTCTTTATGGTCCAACTCTCATATCCATACATGATTACTGGAAAAACCATAGCTTTGACTATATGGACCTTTGTTGGTAAAGTAATGTCTCTACTTTTTAATACACTGTGTAGGTTTTTCACAGCTTTTCATCCAAGAAGCAAGTGTCTTTTAGTTTCGTGGATGCAGTCCCCATCTGCAGTGATTTTGGAGCCCAAGAAAATAAAGTCTGTCACTGTTTCCAGTTTTTCCCCATCTATTTGTCATGAAGTATTGGGACCGGACGCCATGATCTTAGTTTTTTGAATGTTGAATTTTAAGTCAGCTTTTTCATTCTCCTCTTACACTTTCATCAAGAGGCTCTTTAGTTTTTCTTCACTTTCTGCCATAAGGGTGGTGTCATCTGCATATCTGAGGTTGTTGATATTTCTCCCAGCAATCTTGATTCCAGCTTGTGCTTCATCCAGCCTGGCATTTTGCATGATGTATTCTGCATATAAGTTAAATAAGCAGGGTGACAATATACAGCCTTGACGTACTCCTTTCCCAGTTTGGAACCAGTCCATTGTTCCATGTCTGGTTCTAACTGTTGCTTCTTGACCTGCATATAGGTTTCTCAGGAGGCAGGTAAGGTGGCCTGGTATTCCCATCTCTTTAAGAATTTTCCTGTTTGTTGTGATCCATACAATCAAAGGCTTTAGCATAGTCAGTGAAGTTTTTCTAGAATTCTCTTGCTTTTTCTATGATCCTGTGGATGTTGGCAATTTGATCTCTGGTTCATCTGCCATTTGTAAATCCAGCTTGAACATCTGGAAGTTCTTGGTTCATGTACTGTTGAAGCCTGGCTTGGAGAATTTTGAGCATTACTTTGTTAGCATGTGAAATGAGGGCAGTTGTGTGGTAGTTTGAACATTCTTTGGCTTTGTCCTTCTTTGGGATTGGAATGAAAACTGATCTTTTCCAGTCCCAGGGCCACTGCTGAGTTTTCCGTATTTGCAGACATACTGAGTGCAACAGTAAGATTTGAAATAGCTCAGCTGGAATTTCATCACCTCCACTAGCTTTGTTCATAGTGATGCTTCCTAAGGTCCACTTGACTTCACACTCCAAGATGTCTTGCTTTAGGTGAGGGATCATACCATCGTGATTATCTGGGTCATGAAGATCTTTTTTGTACAGTTCTTCTGTGTATTCTTGCCACCTCTTCTTATATCTTCTGCTTCTGTTAGGTCCATACCATTTCTGTCCTTTATTGTGCCCATCTTTGCATGAAATGTTCCCTTGGGATCTGATTTTCTTGAAGAGATCTCTAGTCTTTCCCATTCTGTTGTTTTCCTCTACTACTTTACATTGTTCACTTAGAAGGGCTTTCTTCTCTCTCCTTGTTACTCTTTGGAACTCTGCATTCAGATGGGTATATCTTTCCTTTTCTCCTTTGCCTTTCATTTCTCTTCTTTTCCCAGCTATTTGTAAGGGCTCCTTTTTGCCTTTATTCTGGGGGATGGTTTTGATCACTGCCTCTTGTACAGTGTCATGAACCTCCTCCCTGAGTAGTTGATTTATATTCTTCTCTGCTTTTTTATTTAGTGTTAATCGCATACTCTTCTCCAAGCATAAGCTTACTTTTCATAACTGTGGATGTAAAGATGATCCTGTGTTTGCCTGCTGTGTCATGGGCCCTGGTTAGCTGTGCTCTGACCTGGGAGTCCGCTGTATTACAAACACCGTGTCCTGGGTGTAAAGCTCAGGAGACACTGACCCCAGCCTCAAGGCCCCACAGTCTAGGGCACTTTCACACCCACCAGTGGTGCAACCACAGCAGTCAATCTGAGGTGAGGACACAGGGGCGCTTGGGCCACTCCCTGAGGTGAGCTTAGAACACAGAGGAGTTAACAAGGTGACGGGGGTGGGGCACTGGGGGTGAGCCGCTGAGCCTCATGGTCGCACTGCCAGGACTGGGTGTGGCTGCAGCCCAGCAGGTGGGGGATGCCCTGTGGACAAGCACTCTCCCGGAGCCTGACACTCATGGGGCTGCTAGACCTTACGGCAGTGCCCAAGAGGAGTTGTCCTTGCAGCCCACGCGCTTGAAGCAGGTGGGGAGGGTCCCAGCTGAGAGGAAGGCGAGGCTGGGAAGACCCCGAGGCTCAGGGCCTGGTGTGAGGGGCTCCTGCTCCTGCACTGACGGCGGGTGGAGGGGTGCTCTCTTTGGGACGGGAATCCAGAGGGAGCAGGATTTGGGGACGAGCAGAGTTTGGGTGTGAGTGTCCACCCTTGACGGGGGCTCTCCAAGGCCTGGCCATGGAGGTGAGGTGCGGGGCTGTCTCTGGAGGAGGCTGGAGGGTACGCAGCTTGGAGGGAATCCTGTAGGTGGGACATGGGGAGCTCAGAGGAGCTGAGGGAGGAATGACCTGAAACCCTGGTTGTGGGGGGAGTGCTTCCATGGAATGGAGAGGCTTGGCCCTGCGGCTGCTCGGCCTGTCAGCTGGTGTTACAGAGTGAAGCTGTTGCTCTGGGTGGAGGAGCCCAAGGGCGGCTTGCACCACTTTGCAGCCTGGCTCCTCAGGAGGGGATCTTCTCCCCAGAGAACTGACAGCCTCCCACAGCTTCTGGTCTCCCTGGTCACCTCCGTGGGGAGATGCCCAGTGCCCTTACAGGATGTGGGAGGTCATGCCAGGCCCTTCCTGGCCGAGCCCCTTTCACCTGGAGATTCTCCCTCTTTCAAGAGCCCAACGACGAGAGTGGCGCCAATGTGGACGCCTCCAAGATGTGGCGGGACGACCGGGAGCAGTTCTACAAGGTCGCCAAGCAGATTGTGCAGAAGTCGCTGGGGCTCTGAGCCTCCCGTGCCCGTGCACAGCCACGCGCAGACGCACCACCAGGCAGTTCGCGGGGTTTCCTCTGGGACACTCAATGACCGGGACACTCTGTGCTGGTACCAAAAAAGGCGAGCTTGCAGAACCACAGCATCTGTGTTTTTTGTACCTTCCCCACCCCAGGCGGGCTTCTCTTCTGAAATGCAGGCTTCTGTAGGATGATGGCAGCCAGGCGCAGTTGGGGCGTCCTGCGAGGAGCTTGGGGAGCAGACACGCTGTCACCGCTACCTCTCTAGCTGCCGCGCCTGTGCACCCAGCACATCCTGGAGCGGGAGTGGTGAGGGCACGTGCCAGCTCCGTGACTAGAGCCAGTGATGCTCCTCCTGAAGATCTGGGGCCTTGTTTCGCAGGTGGAGGGCTGCAGCCGGATGTCTCCAGGCTCCTCTCGGTCCCCTTGTCCCCAGCAAGGAGCACACGACTTTGTTTCAGTACCTTGTTTCACAAGCAGGTTTTTTTTCTTGCAGTCTAGTCATATTTTTCATTTGTTGTATGTTACAAATAGTCACATTTAGAAATACTGTCAGGAAATAAATACTTTTAAAAATGTGGATTAATGAAAAGGGGGTGGTTAGAAAAATGTCGTACTGTCTGTAAGGACCAGCAACTTCCCTGCTGGTGTTCACTGCAGCTCACGCTCGAGTCTTGAGTACTAGTGCATTTCCTGGAGTGCGAGCATGGGAAGCCAAGACTGTGGTCCAGGCACCTTTTGGGTATGCAGGAGGTTCTTTTTCCAGTCTGAAGGCTAGGAGGTTCTGAGCATGTGTACACAGTGGCTGTGGCAGCACATGTGACTGTTGGGACAAAACCATTCTTTGCAGCTTGGGGAGGGGAAGGAAGGGAAGGGCTCCCCTCAGCACAGAGCACAGAGCGTGCCTTACCTGGACCTGATCGGCGCCTGGGAAGCGTGGTGCGGGTCCTGGGTCCCTGTTGTGGGCGGGCGCTCAGCTGTGGTTCGTGATTTCGAGATGGTCTGCATGCCCCGGTGTGGGCAGCTCAGCCCTGGGGGTTACCTTTCAAGCAATAACAGATCTGTTGCGTGCAGAATCACACATTTGGCCTGTTGCAAACAGGTTCAATTTACATAGGAGTTTTATTTTTGAAATAAGGGACAATCTACAAGATGTACAGGACACTTGACGTTGTGCTGTTCTTTGCCCTGCTCAACGTGCCGTGGGCGGGGGTCTGCTTCCTGAGAGCTCACTGCTGCTTGGTGTTCAGCAGTTCTGGCTAAGAGGCTTCTGTGGGAACCCGAGTCCTTCTTCTCAGAAAGGGATCATTTACAAGTTGAAGTTCAGTCCGAGGACGTCCTGGGAAAGGGGTGGGAATGGAGCTGTTGCGCCTACTGGTGATCACAGGCTGGTGTGGGGCTGCAGCGCCTTCATGGAGAGGAGAAAGCGGCTGTGGGCTGGGTGTGAAGGGTGGGCACTGCGGGACGAGGTGGCCACAGGGCAGTGAGTCCACAGACGGAGCAGAGGCGGTCCCTCTGCAGAATGTCTTTATTCATTTGTATTAAATGAACCGAGAGAGTCCCGTGGTGTCCTTATTCTGTGACAGAGTCTAATTCCTACGGTAAAAATAAAGTTCTATTTTCCCCCTATTCTGAGCAGTGTTTTTCTTTGTTGTGTTGAAATGTAATTGTATGGGAACAGCAGAGTGGCTCCCTGGGGAGCACGGGCACTGGGACCCCCACTGCCCCATCTCCCCAAGACGCCTGAGCTTCGGCAAGTTCCACTGGCTTCCTGTTCCTCCCGCCCTCTGGTCTCCCCTGAATTCCCGGTGTCCGCATCCGGGTCTGTGGATGTTTTCGCCAATGTCATCGGGCAAGGGGAGACCAGCGGACGCTGAGATGGTACTACTGCTCTGCCCTCCAATCTCACACCCGTCACGGCTGCAGGTCTCATCACAGCTGCTGACGTGAGCCTGGTCTCGGGCTGTGTTGGCACAGAGGCCAGCTGCTGACCTGCCATGCTGTTCCCGTGTGGCCCCAGGACATCCTCCTGCCCCCTTCTCCCTGGCTCCACGTATGTACGGCTGGGGCTCAGCCCCTCCCAGCAGTGCTCATTCTGCCCTTTGCTGAGGGGCTTCCGTCCCACTTTGTACTACTTTGATCTCTGACAGGATAGTGAGGTGGGGTCCCTGATGCCACCCTGGGTTCAGGGGGTGCTCGGGAGGCCTCACAGCTGCCAGCTCTTACAGGGAAAGGCCCAGGGGCTCCAGCACCTCCAGAAACATGGCCTGGGGAGAGGTCGGGGGACACCAGACACAGGCTTCCTGGGACCCTCCTGGCCAGGTCACATAGGGTGCACTTGATTCACCAGCAGGGAGCTCCTGGGAGACAAGTGCTGAGGGAGTTTATCAGGGGCTGGTCATGTGGGCACCCTCTGCCTGGCACCAAGACCCCAGCCGCCGAGCAAGAGTAGGTATGCAGCACACACCGCACAGCTGTGCAGATGGTTGCGGCACCCATGTGAGACCCCTCCCCACACCTTCCCTCCTGCCTGAGCACGGCGTCCTGGGCCTGCCGTGCACGTATCCTGAGCTTTTCCCGTTGGGGATTTTAGTTAGGTTTGTTTCAGGATGTTTGGTTGCTCTGTGAACGTTTCTGTTGGTTTGGCGCCCCTCTCCCACGGCATTGGGCTTCCGCAGGTGTTAGGATGTTTGGGGTAAGTGCCCGCCCTCCTCCGATTTGCCTGTCTGGTTCCGGAGATGGTGAGCAGAGCTGTGGGCGTGGGAGCCTGCTCACTGCCGTGTCCTGGGTGTGTCCTGGGCAGGGTGTCGCTGTGGGCTCTGGCCCAGGTGACTGGAAGAACAGAGCTCTCGGGGCTCCATTCCCCACTCCTTCCCATATGTGGCCATGGCTGCTTCCTGTCTGGTTTCTATAGTCAGGTTGCTCTGAGGTCATGCTGGTGTCTGCACCCCTCGTATGTGTCAGTCAGGGGCCCTGGGTGGAGGACGGGACCCACCCCGGTGACCCCAGGCTCCCCTGCTACTGGTCCCCCCACCCCAAGCCCTGACCGCAGATGACGTGGCCAGGAGGCTATGCCCGGGCCCTGGGTGCCTTCCCCGTGCCTCAGAGCACAGCAGGACGCCGGAGTGGCCTTTGCAGGGGTCTCAGACCCCTGGTTCCGCCCCTGTAGAGGACAGGACAGTCTGCCTTCCCCACCCACGACCCAGGGTTCCTGGGTGTGGACTCACCCTGGGACCCCCAGCCTCCCCTGGAGTGAAGCCCAGCTTCCGAGGACACCAGCAGATGGGTCACGCGGAGGCCACCCTTCCAGCCTCTGTCCCATCAAGGCCATCTACCTGGACCCACCATCACCCCCAGGCTCCCTCTCCACCAGCACCTTCTCTCCTGGGGCACCGTGTGGCCTGGGGCACGGACTCCACGCTGCGGTCTGCTCCACCCCTGCCTCGGGAAGCTGTGCCGTGTCCCCCTCTGGCTTCTCCCCTCCTTCCTGGCAGGGGTGGGGCCCTGGGGCTGACCACTGCAGGCAACCCTCAGCAGCCAGGTGAGCCGGTCAGGCCCCAGCACCCTGGGTTCCTCAACTGAACAGGGGCTGATGCGGCCCCCGTGGGTGCTGCCAGGCAGGTTCCACCTGTGCCCACAGACACAGTCCTGCTGGGGTGCTCGTCCTCCAGACACAACACACCAGGGCATCCTCAGCCTCACCTCTTTGTTGACCGGACTTGAGTGAAGGAACGTGTGAAATGCACGGAGTGGGGAGGTTCCCAGATGGGAGTGTCTGGTGTGACGCTGAGGGGCGCTGGGCTGAGGGACCCTCAGAGCAGCAGGGGTGCAGCCCCCATGGCCGGCACCCCGCACCCATCCGTCGTGGTGGATCCCTTGCTGGGGGGATGTGATCCAAAGTGACTGAGCAGCTTCAGGTGGTCCTGCGTGAACATTCTCCTCCCGCGAGTCTCCAGGGGTCTCGGGATCCCAGACGAGGGCAGCTGAGCTCCACCCTCAGAGGGGCGCAGGGAGCAGGGTGGGTGGGGGCAGCACATTGGGGGCACCCAGGCTTATGGAGTGGGGACCTCAGACTGGGAGCTGCCAGGCAGGGGTGCCCTCGGGCAGCCAGACCAGATCGTGAGCCCCACACGCTGCAGGGGTGCGTGCCCACAGCCTGTCCCCACCCCACGGGGCTCGGCCAAGCTGTGTGTGAGCGACTGGACGTCCCTGTGACTTGGGCTGGCTCCAGGGAGCGGTGGTGACACATTCCTTTCAAGTTGGTATGAGCGTGTGCGTGCGGGTGTGGGCTTACCCTCCTGGCAGAGGACCTGACGTTGGAACCGGCTCGCAGGGAAAGGAGAGACGGAGGATTGCCTTCCTGGTGGCTCTTTGAAATTCTGGGTGATGTACTCGACAAGTTGGAACCACATGAAACACTTGGAGCTTCGGGGCAGAGCTGTCTTGGGGATTCTCGCAGGGTTCTCCTCCTAGGGCAGCTTTGCTGGGTGACGGCACGGCAGGGAGTCCCACCTGCAGACCCCGGCTGCCACCTTGCCCAGCCCAGCCCTGCCTGCTCAGGGCTGGTGCCCCCCTACACGCAACATGTGCACACACGGGCTCCTCGGGGCAAGAAGCGAGGGCTGGTGGAGGGTGAGTGCCAGCTCCCACCCACCAGACCCTCCAGTATCCAGAGAGGAGGAGACCACCTGAGGTCCGGCCCTGTGGGACATGGGGGGGGGCATGGAGCTCGGCCCTCACATCCCCCACCCCCTGCACCCCCTGGGCTCTGCCCAGAGCCTAGAGGGCTGACAGGGACCATTGGGCGTGGGCCACAGGGACAAGGGAGGGAGGGAGTCCCAGGCCTACCGCACGGAGCTGAGATCACCAGGTTGTGATCACTGCCGGCCAGGGACCAGCCCCAGCCAACCAGAGCTCCGTGTTGGGGAAGGGTGGGGTGAATCCCCTTCTGTCCACACTTCCCTGGACTGTGGGGAAACACTGGGCCTTCCCTTGGGCAAACCAGGCCCCAAACTAGAGGGCACAGATGCCCCCCAAAAGCAGAGCCTGAGCCAGGGTAGAGGAGGAAGGAGGCGGTGGACCAGGCCCCAGGCTCAGAGCACCCTGCACGCTGGTCCCACAGGGAGCCCTCGAAGCCAGCCTTCTGTGCTGGGGCCTACAGATGGTCAAGGGAGTGGACACACATTCTTGAGCCAGGGCCCTGGGTCTTTGGAACCACTTGGGAGAGGGCCTGCCCTCCCACCCACATCTGCATCTCTGTCTCCTCTTTCTGCCTTCAGCCAGGCCATTCTATCACATCAGCTTTGCCTGCTGTGGACGTGGAATCCGTGTGGACGAGCCCAGTGAAGGGCCAGCTGGGTGTTCATCACTCTGCTGCCCAGGGCCGAGGGGACACGGAGGGGGCCCACCGGTCATTGCTGGAAGATAATAATTGCCCCCAGATCCCTCGCCTTTTGAAGCACAGGCCAAGTCCTGCTGCTCCTGTGCTGTGAAGCCCAAGGGCTCCTGGTCAGTGGAGGACAGGCCATCTTGGGAGAGCCTGGCACCACCCCCCCCCAGCCCCGTGCTGAGACCCCCACTCTGGGTCATCTTCAGGGTGCTGCTTAGACTTCACTCACTCAGGATGCCTGCCCCGCCCTGCCACCTGCCTGCACCCACAAGCACCCTTTCCCTGTTAATCCCTCAAGGGAGTTGCATTTCCGGATTTTCTGTAATTAAACCATCCGGTGTTTGTGGGTAATCCCGTCAGCCTGTGGTGCGTTCTTCCTGAAATTATCTGCTCCAGCATCCTGGCAGCACTCATGAAGCCGTGGGGCGGGCTTCTCCCTGTGTCTTGGTTTTGGCACCAGAGTCAAGGCCTCAAGGATCGTTTGAAGAATCTCCACTCCGTTTTCTTACTGGATCACCTGTTTCTTGGAAGTTGGTTAGAACTCACCTGTTAAACTACTTGGACCTGCTGTTTTCTTTGGGGATTTGTTTTGTTTTGTTTTTAATATGTAAGCCATATATAGTGTTGTATGTAAAATGGAATTCTTGGGACTTTCCCTGGCAGTCCAGTGGTTAAGAATCTGCATTCCAGTGCAGGGGACACAGATTTGATCCCTGGTCAGGGAACTAAGATCCCACATGCCTTAGAGCAACTAAGTCCATGCAACTGCTGAGCCCACACAGTCTGGAGCAGTGCACCGCAGCTGGAGAAGCCTGAGCACCACAATGAAGACCCAGCACAGCTCCCCCCCCACACAATTTTTTTTTTTATTAGTTGGAGGCTAATTACTTTACAATATTGTAGTGGTTTTTGCCATACACTGACATCAGTCAGCCATGGATTTACATGTGTTCCCCATCCTTAACCCCTCTCCCACCTCCCTCCCCACCCCATCCCTCTGGGTCATCCCAGTGCACCAGCCCCGAGCACTTGTCTCATGCATCCAACCTGGACTGGCGATCTGTTTCACACTTGATAATATACATGTTTCGATGCTGTTCTCTCAGTTCATCCCACCCTCGCCTTCTTCCATAGAGTCCAAAAGTCTGTTCTATACATCTGTGTCTCTTTTTCTGTCTTGCATATAGGGTCATCATTACCATCTCTCTAAATTCCATATATATGCGTTAGTATACTGTATTGGTGTTTATCTTTCTGGCTTCCTTCACTCTGTATAATGGGCTCCAGTTTCACCAAAATTTTTTTAAATAAAAGTAAAGTTGACTCAAAATGATTTTTGAAAAGTGGATTCCTTATAGATAGCACATCCTGGGATCTTGTTTTTATGTTTTTATTATCTTTATCCAATGTGACAGTCTCTCTTCTAATTATTATTTCTAATTATCTCTCTTCTAATAATTAGTGTATTTCCATTTAATAAAATCATTAAGGTGCTTGGATCTGTCTACAGCTTTATCTGCTTTCTGTCTGCTCCTCTGGCCAGGGTATTTGTTCTTG